TATAATTTTTTAGAATTCTAGAATAAATTTAATGGAAGAGATTGTTAGACAGAGAAATATTTCAAATGTGTATGAGTCATATCTTAAAACTAATATTCCTAAATTTATGTTAAAGCTTACCATATTATAAAAATAAAACTTATAATTAGATCAGTTATTCCTAGTTTGTATTAAAAAATATTTGTTGTATTAAGAAATATCTTTTATTTTTTTGGCAAGAAATACTTGTTTTTTTTTAACGAGAAAATATGATATTTGTTGTATTACCTTTTTTTTTTGACAAGAAAAAAAAGAAGATGTTATATGACTTTTTTTTTTTTTGCTTGTTGTATTACTTTATATTTTTTTATTTTTTACATGATATTATTTTCTTCATTTAAGTTTTTTTTTTTGAAGACAAAAGTAAAAACCTATGTTCTTTTTTTTAATGATATTATTATTATTATTATTATTTTTTATGAAGACAAAAAGTGAATTTTGCACAATAGCGTCGCAACTGAGATTCGAACTTGGGACGTCACGCCTAGAAACACTGTTGCGAACCACCGCAGCCCTTCGCGCGCTGCTAAAGAGTTCTCTACAATAATTACCTATATTGAATGAATTTTGAACATAATAGCACTTAGCGCAAGTCTCACATCGAGGAATTGGAGAAAGTTTACATGGTATAAATGCCTTTACAAAAGCCTTAACGTTTGCACGATAGAGAGAAAGGGTACATCTGCAGTGATATTTTGAACAAAATTACGAAAATGTCCTCAGTTAAGGACTCGCCCTGTGACGTCACTAAGCGACTTGAATCGCGATTTATGATGTAATCAGCATCTGGAATCACGATTTATGACGTAATCGGAGCGATTCACTGTTCAAAATCGCTGATTCTCTACTAGGATCGGGCGATTCCCGGTTTTACAGAAGAATCGACACGGGGTGACCGATTCCCGTGTCGACTCAGGCGAGTCCGTTGCGACTTGTCGATTTTTAAAACCCTGGTCAACACCAAACTCAATCACATTAGTTTTACATCTGTTGCCCGATATTCGTCTGTCTGGAAATGTTGCTGAAGCATCTTAGCAAGAATTTTAAGGTCAAGCATTGCATTGATTGATACCCTGTTGAAACTTATTTTATCATAAGCAAATTTTTTAGAGCAAAACACCTTCCCAAGTTTAAAGTCTTCAACAGCCTAGGCCCTAGGGAAATGCCTTTTCGTGTCAACCATAGTGGTACATGGAAACTTGGGTAAGGGATCCCCTTTTCTCATGCCACTTGAGTGTCTGAAATATCTTTCTGGTGGCCTTTTATCATGAGCAAGTAAGGTGCTCTTGAGAAAAACCTGTGCATCACGACGACCCATGTAGCTTTGAGTCAAATTGTCATAGCATAAGTTCTGAAATCCAAAAAGGATAAAATCAATATGGTTTTATGGCTTTTTCAAGTTCAATCATTGAATCACTTTCTGCTTATCAGGCCTCTAGTGGGCATCAATGAACTCATGAGCAGTCCAAGCACCCCCAAGGATGTCTTAACTCACGAAGCCTCCTTAATCACGATGAATACTAAGCAGCATGCGTTCTTTAACTCTCCTCTAGAGAACTTTCACAATGGTTTAATTTTGGCAATGGTTGCTTATGTATGGCATCCGCCTTTCCCACTTTGCTTAGTTTAAATCCTTCAAAAAAAAAAATTTGCTTTTGTTGACTATCTGTCATTTATAGTACATTTGTTGTTTTCTTAATGTCTGATAGAGAAATGGGTTTTATCCTAATTGGGTTCTTGACTTGTTTCCGTAAGGCGAATATGACTCTTTCTCTAGACTGAATGATTTGCCTGGGTTCCTCTTGGTCGTCTTAGCTTTCTTCACTGGCTTACTGTATTCTATGTTGTAGTGACCTACATCATCATCATCATCACCCAAGCCTTATCCTAATGATATGGGGTTAGCTGTAGTGACCTACATCAATGCTGAAAACTGAATTTGTTTGATTAGAGATATGCTGGTTTCTACTACATGATTGGTACTAATTGTATGCACTGTTTTACTTGTATACACTTGATTGTAGCAAGCTACACTGGCTGTTGCTGCCTCAGATAGAAAGAAAAGAGAGAAGAGATCTCTTAGAAATGTTACCTCTGCAAAAGATAAGAAGCATAACTCTTGCGAGGCAATTTCAGATATTGAACTGTGCCCAGGTAGGTCTTTGACATTGACACTGCACCATTATCGTGGCTACTTTATGGTTTTGGTCCTTGAATGCTAATTATTGTAAATGTACTGGCAAGCGGTGTAAGGCATTGACATGAACTCCTGTTTGGTTAATTGTTTTTCTGTGTTTGGAATAAAGAACCTAATTGGATAAGTTGCTTAATGCTATTGAATTGTGTACAGGAGAGCGTATTTTTGCGTTGGTTCTGTTCATTACAAAATGGATTGACATAATCTCCTGTTTGGTTAATTGGTCTTCTTTGTTCTAAAGGAAGAATCTAATTGGATTAGTTGCTTAACACTATTGAATTATGTACAGGGGAGCGTATTTTCCGCATTGGTTCAGTTCATTACAAAATGGATTCTTCTAGGCAGACCCTTCTGAGAATTTCTGGTAACTCATTGTGTTTTTCAACATTACATGTAACATGCTCCTTTTGTGTTTTCTTTTGGACTTCTTTTTCTTATCTTTTTTTTTTTTGATGACCTATATGAAGTTCTTAAAGTATTTCATTGGGTTTGTTGTGTTGTGATTGAGAGGTTTATACTCCATTTTTTGCTAGTCATCATTCGATTGAGTTCAACTCCTTTAACCGTCCCTTCCCTTTTCGAATCATTATGCAGTTTGGCTTGATGTACATCAAATAGAAAGTTTTGCTCACACGTAGTCTTAGAATGAATTTTTGGGGATAACAATCAAGGATGTATTTTCGTGAAGGAGCATATTCCTGCAAAAGAAGCCTTTAATCTGTATTTACTTAGTGGCTGAAATGTGCTACAACAGCTTTTACTCCAAAGATTTTTCCAACACAGTGGAACCTCTGTTGATTGAATATGAGTTTTTTTTTTTTCTTTTGTAAGAAGTTAGAATTCCAAAGGTGAAGAATGTATGATATTCTGTATCCTGTTATTTTGTCCCTCTCATGATCAGGTTACTTTTCATTCAAGAAATTCAGAATGTTTTGAAGAGCAGAAAATACCCCTGGTTTATACACCAGGTTCTTTTCTGTGAATATTTTTATTTTTATATCCTACATAGCCTGACCTCTGAACTTCCCTTCAGTAACATAAACCTTATGGGCATGTTCTGTACCTTGGAAGCCTTATTAGAAGGACAAATGATAGCAGGAATTACATCATCCAGAGAGGGAGGGGGAAGGTATTGTAACTTGTAAGGTTGTTTGGGAATCTCTCCACAAATCTGACTTCAAATTTTGCACTTACCTGAAGATTCTCCGATTGTCTTGGAAAACATATCAGGGAGTTTCCTTGCCCATTTTTTGTTGTCTTTCTGATTTAATTTAGGCAAATAATCATGTGAAATTATTGTTGTGGATATCGAACATGTTAAATAAGGAATGTGATGCAGGGAAAATGGGGGAATAAATAATTAATATAAAAATAATAATAAAGGGTGACAGAATGTACCTTCTCTCAAAGTCTGCAAGGGAGCCCCCCCTAAAAGATCTTTTCACAAGACTCAAATTCTTGACTCAAATATAACTTTCTCCCTCCATCATTCCCTGCATTAGTTGTTATTAGAGCCTTCTTATTTTGTTCTCCCTGCATCAGTTGGCATCAGAGCAAGTAAGATCCAGTTATTGCAATGCCATCGAAAGCTAATCTTGCTATGGATGATCGCCTGAGAAAAATTTTAGAAAATTTGACCAAAGTCATGGATGATGTTCGAAAGGAAGTTCGCGAAATGAATCAACGGTTACAACGGTTGGAGAACAATGTTCATAGTGAAGAGGGTGCTCGCAACCATGAAGATCCGACACCAGAGTTCGTTGTAGAGATGAATTGAGGCCCATGACTAATTACGGGTGCCGATCCAGAATGTGACGATCACATTGTGATGCAAGAACCACGACCTAAGGAGTATCCACATGATCTTGGTATTCAACTCGATCTTCCCAAGTTTTACAGGGAACTTGAAAAAGAAAAAGAAATCACGATTGCGTCCGAGATCTCAGTGTTCTACTTCGAGATAAGCATGAAGTATTTGATGAATCGGTTTATTCAAGAAAAAGTAACAAGACGCACGTTGGCACTACATCACCAATTATTCGATTGGCTTCAAGCTCGAGGTCGAGCTTCTCCCAACCCTGGGAGAATGATGCAATTAAAAAAAAAGGAATTATTATTTTTAATGGGTTACTTTTTTTTAGGAATTGAGCGGGTGTGGCGTGAGTTTTTATGAGGTGGTTAAAAGGTTGGATTTTAGGATAAGCTAGGCTACATGGTCAGGTTTTCAAGATATATTGGGTAACTTGGGCTTACCTAATGAAGTCTTATTTTTATGGACTTAAAATTTAGGAGGAGATATGGAGACTTATAGAGATTCAAGTGAGAGAAAATAAGGAGATAAGGAAGAGAATTTTGTGATTCAGTGAAGAGTTGATCTTGTGAATAGATTTGCATATCCCGAGAGAGGTTATATTCTCTCACCCTTTAGTATTATTTTTATTTTAATTATTTCTCCTTGTATCAGAACGGTTGAGATAAACCATTTTGCCCATGTCTTGCTATGTTAGTTGGGCTGAAAAATGGTTTCATTTCAACTGTACTAAAAACTTGAGGTGACTTGTAGCTTATTGTTTGTGAGCTACTTGTAGCATTCAATTCCTATAGTTCTGACGCATTCAATTCCTATAGTTCTGACGTGTTACTTTGGGTTGAAAGAATGAAACAGCCATAGGATTCCATTGGAACTTAAAAAGGAGTTGGTACTTTTTAGCCTAGAAATTGCAGTGACTAGAGCACAAAATCATGGCTATTTTAGGGTGTAGGAGTGTGTAATTTGCCTTGGGGTTTGGGCATCTGGTTTGATGGTTAAGTTGTTGACTAAATGTGCAGGCTCAAATCCCACTGCTGACCTATGAAAAGGCTGGAGTACTCTCTAGCCTAGAAAATTCCAGGTCTTGAACATTAAAATCATGACTATTTTTGGGTCTACATTTGTAATTTCTCGGGGATTTGGTCACCTTGCTTGATGGTTAAGTTGTTGATACTTGCTTCCAGACTGGAGAAACCTGTGTCCCTTACAACCAAAAAAAAGGAGAAAAAATCTTTTATTTATCAATCTTTTTGTTTGTATTTCTCATGGAATCTTTTGGAAGCTTATCAAAACAGATGAAAGTCAATTGTTTACATGTGCTTCTAGGTGTTATCTTCCGTTGATTAAAGATCAATTATACTTTAGAAATGATTGAAGTTCTTTATAGTTGATAAGAAAAACAAAATGGACCTCATAGTAGTCGATGTTTCATTTGGAAGTAGTTTATTTGCACCAATCTTGGCTGTTCTTAATTTGTATACTAAATTTCATTGTGTGCTAACCATTCGTCCATAAATTATCCCTTGTTCCTTTGTTTTCCATATTTCTGTTACAAAAACTGAACTGGTCCTTACTTCACTTCAGCCTGTAATTTTGTTCAATGTTAAAAAGGTGGGCCACCCTGGCGCCTAGGCTTGCCAAGGCCCTAGGTACATTGGCTAGTGGTTGGGGGCCGCCTAGGGCGGTGGTGTCTCTAAGGGTGCCTCGTGCCTTGAACCCCTCTTCTTCTGGTGGTGTCTCTAGGGGTGCCTCGTGCCTTGAACCCCTCTTCTTCTTCTTCCGACATATATATATGTATATGTATATATTGTATTCATTAATATATTTTATAAATAGTATATAATAATATTATAGATAGTAATAGTAATATATTATAGTGCTATAATGCTATGTTATATATAATAGTTATACTGCAGTACTATTATGTTACTTATATATAGAGAGAGATAGAGCGAGGGATAGATGATGGGTCTCTACTCTCTCTTCCCTGTATTAAATTTTATAAGAGGGACATAGTGCAACGGGTAGATAATGGGTATCCTAGGTGGTCACCCCCTTTCTTAAACATTGGTGTTGTTCTCACTGTTCTCTTTATAGTTTCATTGCTTGCTTCATTGTTCCAGTGGAGCATGTTGTCCCTTTTACCTGCACAAAGTAAAAGTGGTGTTAGATTGCAGCCTTTGGGGGATTTTTTTTTATCCCAAAGTTTGTAGATGCTCTCATCATTATCATATTAGCAACTTTTTTCTTTAAAAAGAAAAGAAAATATATCGATTTGAGTTATTAGTGTCTTAGATCTAAAATGGTTGACTGGCATTCACCAAATTTTCTTTCTTAAAGAAATCAGTTTATTTTATTTATTTATTTATTGAGATCGTTCACTGAGTTCACGACAGTAATGTGCAGAACTTGAGTTCAAACAAATACCTATAGTAAGAAGGTTAACTATCTCAAAAATACAAATACCTATAGTAAGTTTTTAGGAGTTTTCGGCCCCCTGTGGAAATTAGCTGAGCAGTGTATGCAAGTATTCTCCATGTTTGTGTGTGCGTGTGAATGGACGCTTGCGCGTGTGTGAATATATATATATATATATATGAGAAATTTATTCTGTCAATTCCTGACACTTCAATCTTTAATTTTGTTAAAACCCAATAAAACCATGACTTCATGTATGATAAGAAAAAAAGGCCATAAAATCTAGTGCATGCTCATGTGTTCGGACTGTATTCAATAATTCCTTGGGGTTCATTTTAATGTCGAGTTGCAATATTTTTTGTCATCTTGGATCTTTGGATGTTAGATACAGACAAGGAACCATCACGTCAAGCTGAATGCTCAACAGGAGCTGTAAGTGGGACCAGTTTTATTCCTAGGAGATTGTTGATTGGGAATGATGAGTAAGTGTTTGCATCCTTTTACTTAAGCCAATTATTTGATTGAGCTCCTAATAGATGTTATTCACTATGTAAAATGATTTGATGTATCAAAATTGTTATGTGGAATTATGAATAGATTTATGATATGAGAGGTGGCATTCATAATTTCTCTTGTGCAGATATATCCGAGTTGGTAACGGTAACAAACTTGTTAGAAATCCAAAGAAAATGAGTCGTGTTTTGGCAAATGAAAAAGTTCGGTGGAGTTTGCACACTGTTAGAACACGCTTGGCAAGGAAAAAACAATACTGCCAGTTTTTCACAAGGTTTGGCAAATGTAACAAGGAAGGTGGTAAATGTCCATATATTCATGATCCTGAGAAGGTAGCTGTTTGCACAAAGTTTCTGAAAGGATGCTGCTCCCGTACTAATTGCATGCTGACTCACAAGGTTTATTGGATGTTCAGGCGATTCCAGATTCTCACGATCTATTATGAGTATCATGATTTACCTTCTCGCCCACAATAATAGAATCTCAGAAAATGGCACAGCCTTATATTTTCGTACTGTGATACTTTGCAGGTTATTCCAGAGAGGATGCCAGACTGCTTATACTTTTTCGAAAGTAATTGGGACTTTCTCATCTTGTTTTTATACGATGCTTTGGTATAGCTTTTCCTTGAACAGCCCTAATAATTTACATGACAGGCATGTGTACCAACGAGAAATGTCCTTATAGGCATGTAAATGTTAACCCAAAAGCCTCTGTTTGTGATGGATTTCTCAAGGGTTACTGTGCTGATGGTGATGAGGTATGCCATATTTTGCATGACAATTACTAGACTCTAGATGGGAGACTTTGTGCATGTCGTTATGTATTTTTAGGCTGTGAAAAATGCATCATCATTATTTTATATGCAAGTTATTCTTTTCATCTCTTTAATTGATGTTGAGTTATATATTGGTCTTGGGATTTCAATATCACAGCTGGTACACTCTTATAAAAAGATTTGTGTTTGGCCGGCTACTTGGATGCGCTGTTTGTTGTTCTCTGTTGGTTTTATTGTAATATTTGCATGTATCATTTTTACAGTTGTAATTTGAATAGACTTTCTAAAGAAAACCTAGTTTGTGATCTTTTTCTCTGAAAAAGTGACAAATTTGAAAAGACATGAAAAATAAGAAGTATGTACAAAATTAATTGTAGATCAATTATAATTGTTTTAGTCAAATTTAAATCATTATATATAAATTAAACTCATACATTCCCACGGATTTTGGAGGTGTTCCAGCTTGGCAGCATGTCAAGTCCAAGTGAATTGGGCGGAGTCCAAGTCGATGCCCGGCCAAAATTGAGGCGTGCATAACATTCAAGGGCCCGCATACAATGGGGATTCACTGCTATGATCATGTCTTTCGCAGCAATAACTTTATATAAAATAGTGTTATTTTTATTTACGAAGCCTTAGCAATTGCTTAGTTTAACGCGCTGCG